AGGACTCATTTTGGAGTATGAGCATACTTTATTTCAATACTTTTATTGTACTGTTTCATAAAGTATTACCTACCTATTACATTTTATTTTTATCGAAAATTGACTTTGTTTCCTGGACCAGAATGTAGATGCAGATGGTAACAACAAAAACGATATCTTGCCTCACATTAAATATAAATATTTCCTAAAACAAATAATTTGGTTTATATACGGGTAGTAATACGAGGGATGTTTATAATTTCAAGTCACGAATATAGAGTCGTTTCAAAATATATTGCCACAATAATTGCGTCACATTGAGTCGGAGTGGGACGCTTGACGTGTCGCAATTCGCAATATATTTTAAAACTAATTAATAAATTGTGATTTTGAAGTATCGAATGAAAACTATATTCTCATTGGTTAAAGATGGAAGTTTTTGTCATTTGAATGTTCAAGAATATTAATTGTGATTAATTGGTTAAATACCGAAGTTATCTGTTATCTGATATTGGTACTAACCTAATGTTTTTGGGTAATTTTGACTGTCATTTCCTGGAATTTCCAGGCCCGCATAAATATTTATCCTATTAAAGTACAAAAACCCTACAATAGATATTATGAGTAGGTATTTAACATTCATTTATCTTATCTTATCTTAGGTAGTTATTTCCTAGAAACATGTCCCTGATTGTCAATAACACATTACCGTATATCTGTGCCAATATGACGTCACGACTTTTAATATACTTAATGAAGGCTGGGGGAAGGAGTTAAGAGTCTATAAATTTACAAACAAGCTTAGGGGTATTTAGTTTTCAAAATTACATCACACATTTTTGAAGTGTTTTATTGTGCTGTTTGTTTTTAATAAGTGTTATTTTCTTTAATAGAAAAATGATTTATTTGTGCCAAGTGTCCTAGTGAGTTTCATTGTACATTTTAATCAGTTTTATTTTTGGATAAATTGACATTGACTTCCTGCATTAAAGGTAGGTAGTATTTTTTTTCTATCACTCTCGAGTTCGTCATTGAATAAAAAAATTAAACGCTATAATTTTAACATTCAAATATTTGCAATTAAAAAATAATATTACGTATTAAATTTTACAATAAAAAAACTTGTTATTTAATAATAATGTTTCATTATTCTGAATATATTTTTTCTACGATCAATATCCAAAGTAGGTAGGCTTTTGCACATTAAAATCTAAATAAAAAGTTGACGTCTTCTGCGAATTGTCATAATTTGACATTATTGGCGCACATTACCTAATATTCAAACCCATTTCCATGCTTAAAAATAGAAGATGGTGACATTTATTTAAAAGAAAACCATAACTACTTTTACCAGGTGAAAAATTTCAATATGTTAAAATAATTCATGATTTTTAAGAAATGTGCTAGAAATGATACTACAATATTAATATTCTTTTTATGTTTGATTTTCTAATAATGATTTTATATACTTTTAGATTCAAGGATAGCTAGGTATAGCTCAAAGAAAATTGTGCTACTTTGTAGTATATACTGGAGATGAAAATCCAATATTTGTTGAAAAAATTCATATTCAACCCATTTTTTTTTTTTTTATGGTTGAAAAATTAGAAAAATTTTACTCGGAATATATGGCACCTGAGATAATTTTAAATAGAAGAGGACGAGGATTAAAATGTCTGGATACCCCATATAATGAAACTTAAAGTGCAAAGATTAGCAAATTTATAAAAATAATAATTTAATGGACTTTAATGATACAAGTACTTGAAATAATAGTTTTTTTTTGCGCAGAAGCATGTTCATACGTAATTTGCAATTGGTAATCACTAATCACAGATGGAAAAGTATATACGTCAACGATATGTTCTCTTATTTTTTATTTATTTTGACAGGTATAATATATGGTATGTTACTTATAGTATAGATTTTTTTATTTCTCGACCTAATTTATTTGTTACGTCTTCAGCAATTGTCGCTTTCAGTTGACATAAACGAAATTGATAAAAAGTGTTTTTCGCATTTTATTTTGACTGTTTCTCTTACTTTCGAATAGAAACTGAGCTTTGTAAACATAAAATGACGGATATGTCAAACTAAAACTGGCGGTAAAATGAAACATTGAGTATCGTTAAATGCAACTTTTGAACTAGTTTCAAAAATAGCATTAAAATGATATTATCATTCACAATGTACTAATTTCCTATACTTTTAGTTGATAAATAACCGATAATCATACATCATATAACAAATAGGCGCGTGTCAAAAGGTCACCGGCGAAAAAAGAGTGCCGATGAAAAAAGTTCGTTTCCAATTGTATCATATAAACAGTATCAGAGGCAGTATTATCATCTCGTATATCCCCCGTAAACACACATAATATAAACGGAAATAATCAAATACTAGTCAAAATATTATCGATCGGAGCACCATCTTTATTACATTACATGAAGTAATTATTGATTTTTCGGGGTTGATTTAGAGTTAAATTAGACGCCATTTTTGGTCCAAATTCGTTTTGACATGTTTTTTCAAAGAAAGTGACTTATAAATTTCAAATCTACACGTTTTGAAAAATATACAATATTTATATATTCTGAGTACCAAAATCCAAGTAAAGGTTGAACTTAGGTCGTATTACATTTTTTTTTATTATTTGTTTGACATCGAGGTTAAAATAATTCTACACGGCACCTTTGAGATGAAATAAAAGGGGGTTATTTTACATGATTGGTTTTTATTGAAAATAATAAATTTATTAATTTTCAATAGTAAGGTGACCTAAGTTAGACCTTTATTTTTAATTTGGCCAAAAATTAGATTTTTAAACACTACATATTCGGAAAACTGTCGATTTAACTTTTGGTCTACACATACACTTTTAGTACACAGGGATACCCCGTCCTTAACAGAAGCTATGGATTAATAGAATTCAAGAAAATTTTTAACTAATTTACTTTTTCAAAGCTACTCTGTACATCTCATTTTAAGGAGACCATTGCACATCTCAAGCTACCAGCTCTTGTAAATCCACATTATAAATGCAATCAGGAGTTTCTGGAAAAGCATCTGGAGCTGGTATTGAAGCTATAATCTTAAGACAAGCCACGACGACACTATATTCTATTAAATAAAATCATTGTTTCTCTCTACTTAAATTGATCAATGCATCGTTAACTGTCTAAAATATTTGCTGATACGATTTCAACCTATTCTAAACAAAAGCACAAAATTATTTATATTACTTAATATTGGATCTTAGAACACGCTAAGGTCGTTAAAACAAAAACAATAATTGAATTATCATAAGAATTTCAACTTCTTTAGCAAATGAAATTAGGAAATACACAATTTTGAGAGAATTGTTTTCTATGAAATATTTCAAGAATATTTGTACAACAAAATCAAAAGAAAATTACGTACGTTTCTCCTGAGAATTATTTCTTAAAATTTCAAGAATTGGGCCCCAGTAGTTGTACATAATCTATTAGTGATTGTAGATTGATCCGAGACAATCATGGTAACGTCTTTATCAGCTGATTTTAAAAACTACGTTCTCGGCGAGTATCTGTACATTTTTTCGATAGAAATCACTAGATTTTAAAACCCCTGTAAGTACGTTAAATAATCCTAATTTCTATAAAAATAAAGTTTGATTTTTGTGTATTAGAAATATAAATATGTACGTAGTTATGTAGGTACGTATAGGTACTTATAGATACGTAGATACAGCTAAATATACACATAGGTACTTAAGTGCGTAGGTACGTAGGTGTGTAAGTACGCAGGTACGTAGGTGCGTAGCTACGTAGGTACATAGGCACCAGTGTTGCCAGAATTTGTTTATGTTATATACCAGATTTGTCTAAAAAATGTACCAGATTTCATAAAGATGTACCAGATTTTTCGATTTATCTTTGCAGTGACGGTTAGTATTGCCTCCTGTCCTTTTTTCAAACAAATTATCTTTGTGACTTTTTAAAGCTTAAAATGTCCTTTTGTCCTTTTTACAGCACATGTCATGTAAAAGGACCTGGTTTATAAACATATAAGCTAAGGACTTTTTTGTTTTGTTTTAGAAGCTTGGCAGAAGGACCATGGCGTATTAAAAATATAAGCTGATAAGGACCTTTTTTTAGAAGCTCGCCGTTACCGTCACCGTTGTCCCGCTTTTCCCTATCGTAAATGTGGCAACCCGCCTTTATTCACTTTTCAAAAAGGTGTCAACCCTGACGGTCTAATTCATCGAAAAGCAAAAAAAATAGATCTTTATAGAGAACGAACACAAACAAGGAAGACAACAATATATATTTCACATGTCAACACTGCTTGCTGCATGTCGGGGAAGAAAAAGTACTAGATTTTGCTTCGAGTGTACTAGAGTACCAGTTTCTTAGAGAATGTACTAGATCTAGTACTATTGTACTAGACTGGCAATACTGATAGTCACGTTAGTACGTTGGTACGTAGGTACGTAGGTACGTAGGTACGTAGGTACGTAGGTACGTAGGTACGTAGGTATATACGCAGGTACGTAGGAACGCCGGAAGTTGCAAGAACCACGCTGGGCACCTTTCAAAAGCTGTGTATATGGACCTTAAAGAAGCTCATACATGCAGACATTCTGATTGCAACAAACGTACTCTTTCATAAAGTTCCACACTTTAGTGTATATTGTTATTGATGATTTTCTTTCATTACAATAAAGTTAAAGTAATAAGAATTAGTTTTTTTTTTATTCTGTAGACATGTGTAACTTGGATCTGCTATTATTAAAATTCACTGGGAATTAAAGACATACCAAACGTTCATAAATGTGCTTAAAATGCATTTGCTATATCATCTGGTGATGGACCATAATACCAAGATTTAGCAGTTTTAAGTTAACTTAATACCTAGGTACCGTAGCAATATGAGTAATTTGAGTTTTGTACACGAATATGTAACGTGGGTTTGACGAGGATACGATATCAGAAAAACGGTATGCCTACTTATAAATAATTAATTAATTTTATTCAACGCACCTTCGTAACTTCTTTCTCGGCTTGAAACTGGACACCAAGTGGATGGCTTATGTAGATTCTGATCTGTCTAAAAGGTATCTATCTGCCACAAATTGGTTTGGTAAAAAAATTACAGAAATCGGTATTATGGTAAATATTTTCAATTTTATTAATGGATCTTATCATTAGATAGTAATCGTTATCAGCCAGCAAGTGATTGTAGATGTAAATGAACCGATCTCGTTTATATTATTTTTTAAATGATGTCACTTCTTGTTTAAAAATAGTGGGTAAATTGTATGCTGACTTATAAAAAATAAATTGATTTTAAAATCCGGCGTATTTAAAATTCTTAGTATTTCCCAACCATCGCTGTGTATATATGAAGTAGGTCTATTGTGCATCCTACAGAGACATATAGGATCTGCATCAACTCGTCAAAAACCTGTTGGTTTTGTCGCTAAGAAGTGTCAAAGAACAGCTATAAAGCCTCTCAGCCCGTCAAAGTCCTGAATGTTAATAAATTGTCGTCAAGGGATACCCATTTTTGGAACTGGCTATTTGGTAGGCTTTTACCACCCCGATGGTAAATTCATGGGTGAAGTTATTCTGTTCTCGCTTCAAAGGACGTTTCCGAGGGGTGAACCACTCCCGAAACACAGGTACGTTTTCACTCGAACTCGCCGAAATTCCTACGAACTCTCTCGAAATTTCCGTAATCATCACGAAAATCATGGTCAAAATCATCACCGATATCACTTCGAAATCAATTTGTTGTTCAGAACCTATTAATGTAGCAGAATAAAAAAATCGACCAAATATCAATAAACATCGAGAAACATCGAGAAACATCGAGAAACATCGAGAAACATCGAGAAACATCGAGAAACATCGAGAAACATCGAGAAACATCGAGAAACATCGAGAAACATCGAGAAACATCGAGAAACATCGAGAAACATCGAGAAACATCGAGAAACATCGAGAAACATCGAGAAACATCGAGAAACGTCCCCCATAAAGTCCAGATGTTCTGACTCTGCCCAAAATCTAATTAGTTCACTTCAGGTCGAAATAAAGCATAAGTTTAAAATTTTAGGTTTTTTCTTTGTCCGTTTTTGAGTTTTCTTCTAAATTCACACTTTTTCACAAATATATCGAATACGGTTAATTTTAGAAAAAATATGTATAGGACAAAAATTATAGAGAATTACATCACAAACAACTTTTATTTAAACAATTTTCATAAAAATTTGATTTTTTTACATTTTGTCAAATTTCTCGAAAACGGACCATTTTAGGAAAATTTTATATAGAACAAAAATTATAGAGAATAATATTAGCAGTAACTTTTATTTAAATAATTTTCTTCTCCAAACGTAAATAACAGATATATTTTATAAAATATAAAAATGACCCCCTATAAAGTACCCCCCAGATATTCCGACTCTGTCCAAAATCTTATCAGTTCACCGCAGGCCGGAATAAAGCTTAAGTTTAAATTTTGGGTGTTTTTTTTGTATCCGTTTATGAGTTATCGTGGACACAGATACAGACACACACAGACATCATCGCGAAAATAGTCAAAATGTATTCAGGGGACCCCAAAACGTAAAAATCCGTCGAAAACTCGAGGTCGAAAAAAATCGTGATTCCTATACTTTCCTTATCTGTATACAGATAGGAAAGTAAAAAAGGCTTCACCTCTCCAAAGTTCATCGTTCATCATTAATGTTGTATTGGTGTTCAGCGTCGAGCATTGGGTCAAAACAAATATGGCCACACTAGTATAAAACTAAGGAAGATTTCGGCGAAATCACCGAAATCGTATAAAATTAATGGAGATTTTAACGAAATCGTGTGAAATTAAGGTGATTTTGGAAATACGGGTACGTTTTGACCTTGTTTACGCCTCGGACGTTTCCTAACCATATCGTAAAAGTACCTATTGACTAAAGAGGATACTTGACTCTTCAAGTATCCTTGCTATTGACGAAGATCGTTTATAAAATCGAAAAAACTTCAAATGAGAATGTTCTACTATTATGCAACTACACATACGCACACTTATATTGTAAGTTGCATAACATTCTCGTTTCTGAGAATTTCAATCCAAAATATATCTGTTCGTTTCACGTTCGTTTGATTGGTTTGATTAGCTACGTTTGACAGTTGTCAATTGTTATGTACTATTCATTTCTTTTTATTTTATTAGAAAATGTTTGTTTCTCTCTCTTAAACGTCAAAATAAAATAAGACTTGTTGATACTTGTCAGTGTCATAAAATTACAAGTTACGAGAAATATTGGTGACTAATAAATGTTTTTTAAAGAAAAATGTGATTTTTGTTGTAATAAACAAAATTTAGATATTAAGTTTAATAATGGCATACGTAAATGTAAAAGACTGGTCTGTAGACCAAGTTACGGACTGGCTGAAAGGTAAATAGTTATAACAAAATAAACTGTCTTGTGTTGATTACTAACAACACAATATCATTAATAATTATACTGTTAATTACTTGTTTAGCATCAACCAATTATCCTATTTTTAGGTTTAGATAATGTAATTTTACAATACAATTCCTCGTTTTTAAATAATGGTGTCACTGGTCATCAGTTACTCAATCTGAGAGCTGACGATTTGGAACACCTAGGAGTAAAAATGTTAGGACATCAAGAAATAATTTTAGAGGCTGTTGAACATCTGAGAAATTTCGTAAGTAACCCATGATTTTATTAAATAACATGATTTGGACATTTTACAAAAAAATGCTTTGTTATTGTCTTATTTTTTTTATAAAACATTATTTAGACTAGTAGAAATATTTCAAGACAGAAGCAACATAAACTTAGAAAAGTATAGTAATTTTTAATATCTTTTTAATATACTTTTCAGTACCTTGGTTGTAAAAACTGCACTGTCATTCTAGTCAACTTTTTAGTAGAGTAGATAGAATGTTGTTTGAACACCTTTTGTGCTCGATAATTACATATTAGGTTTTTTCGTTAGTCCCACTGGTGTAGGAATGAACTACACCAATGCACACCATACCTTTCGTTTGGTCTGTTATAAAATCCTCTACACCTTACTGTTGTCGATGTGGTGTCCATTGGTGGATATTTTCTCCACCAGCTATTTAGCAGGAGTGCATTTTACCCTCAACATGTGTATCAGAAATAAGGAGAAAGTAAACTAGGTTAATAAGGTGGTGTAATTTACACTGGTAGACACTGCACCAACAGCGAACGAAAGAACCTATTATATTTTCTGATAAGTTCAGTTAGACCCAATTATTGTCATAATATTTTTATGTAGGTACCTATTGTTTACCAATCTTACTAGTAAAACTTCCGATTTTTTTAATTTGCATATACCTATTGTTGGTTTTTATGATGTAATAATATTTATATGTTCTGATAGCAAATTTTCTATGATACAGTGTCATATATCTCCAACATTTCTATTTTCTCATTAGAAAATTAACATTAGAATTAAAACACACTATGCACATGGCTTCTTTACCTCCTAAGTTTATTGACCATAGAGTTATATTTTTTATTTTGTTGGTAACTTTTATTGTGATTTATGAGGTCACTACTAGATACATGATATAGTATATTTCTGGAAAAGTCTCTATGAGCTGAGTATTAAAATATAACTTATAAAACTGCACTATGTCCATATAGTGCAGTTTACCTCTAAGGTAGTTTTATTAATTGGTATTTAGTATAATTTCTTTCCAACCTACAAACTTGAAAGTTAAAAGATTTTCTGGGGTAATGTACCATATAACACTCATTTTAAGTCATATATGTGAATTTATTTTATAAAATAATTTTTTAAATAGAAAATATTTCCACAGGACAGGAATATACATGTTTAACAAGTTTTGTCATAAATAAGTACTGGGTTTGTTGATTTGATAGAATATCTATTAATTTTGTAAACATTACATTTTAAAGTGTCATGTACAATTTATCTAGAGGTATAGGTAATACATTTAAGCCTTTATTCCTATTTGAAGCATGTGTTAATATTCATATCATAAGATGTGGAAAGTATGTTGATTTAGATTTTATTTTATTTATTTCATTATAGTTACCTACATACAATTTCACCAACATACCAAAACAACACTCAATGCATCTACTGTTATTAAGGGAAATAAACTATTGTTAACAAATCTGATTATGATCCATCTAGTTGTTCCTATTCCCTTAAAATTAGAATTGGTGATTTTAATATTGCAGATAAAATCTTGTAATTAATTTTTTAGCATTTTGAGTTAGACAAAGAAAATTTACAAACTTTAGCTCTAAGATTATCATGTGCTGCAAATTCTCTATACAAAGAACTGCTACTCTTAGATGATGACTGTACAGTGGTACATACTCAAGTGATGTCAGATGTTCACAATATTATAACTACAATCAAACCTCTAGCTTACTGGCTTGACAGGTACTTTTAAAAACCATTTTCAATAATGTTTTACTTAAATATATATTTTTTTTTTAGATCACCATTTGCTGGTGACAAAGACTATATTGATAATAAGACAAATCTTTTGCAATTGGGCTTTGAAATGGCTACTAGTGCTCATAGGGGAATATTTTCAGAAAAGCCTGTATGTACAATTAGGAAAATATGTGAAAAGTTAACGAAAATAGCTGATCATATAATTCAGGTATTTTATAATTTGGAACTAATATTTTTATAATAAAAATATGTTTTTGTCAACTACTTACTGCAACATAAAAATTATCTTATTTAGAAAAAAATTGTTTCATTATATTACCATCTCACATGATAGTAGGTATAGTGCAACTTTAATAATATTTGAGATATTAATTAAATAATGTATTAATGATAAAGAAAACACAAAATCTTGTACCATTTATATTTTTCACTAATTATAAATTAACACACTTTGTTTTTGATATTATTGATGAGATCTTGTAGTCAGGTGACAAAAATTGTGGCAAAATTTAGATTTGAGTGCCTATCTTGAAAAGATCAGAGATAAGGTTATCCTATTCAAGGAAAGAAATAGTAAGCAATAGGGTTGCATATTGAAGAAATAATTTAGAGAAGATATGGCTATGGAAAATGTGGTTGGACACTGTTAGTTAATCTTGATATGATGGAAAAGGGAGAATTGATATTAAAATAATGCAGAATAAAAATTTCTCATAATTAATTTTCATAGGCTTAGATCTTCAAATTAGAGTTTCATATTGCCATAAATAAGATCTAAAGTATCTTGAATAAAATAATTGCAAATAGAACAAAATAATTATCTTTGTCTTGTATGTTAGATAAACTAATACCTAATAAGTACAAAGTTTCAATAGGTATTCAACTTCAAATTTTGACTCTTTTTGACCGATAAGTTTTCGAACCTTTTTAAATCGATTGTTTCACTGAAAATTATTTGTTTGCTGTGTTATTTTTTCCTCTATTTTTAATCAGCATAAAAAAATAAGAGTGAGCAGGTATTTTAATTAAAAAAGTATTTGTTTTTATTTTCTAAACAAAATAAATTATGATTAAATCCTCTTTGTTTTTACTGTCAAATCTTTTTAGGAAATAATGGACCCTATGATATTACAACCTGCTTCATTAGATTTAGCAACTTTAAAAAAGAAAGAACAAGAACTGGGATTTTTTATCTTGCCTTGCTATCAGTCAATCCATCAAATAGCTGAAATCAAACATGGCTCTCCTGCACATGGGAGTAGCAAAATTGAAGAAGGAGATGAGATTGTACAGGTAACAGTTTAATAAAAAAGAAACTACTTACAGTTTTGAAACAATAAATTTTATTTAGGTAAACTATCAAACTGTGGTCGGTTGGCAAAGAAAGAAAGTAATGTTATTGCTTCAGGAATCGCCTCCTGAAATCGTTCTTACATTAAAAAAGCGACCCAGACACACCAAAGTTTACGGTCAGATATACATGAAGCCATACCGCTTGCCAAGTAGAAAAAGAAATGGGCAAAATTGGTCTACGAGGTGGAATGATAACATCCCTTCTCCTAGATTGCTGCCTATAATTAATCTACCACCTATAACCATATCGAAGTAAGTTTTAACAGCTGTTTTCTTTTTAATTTCATTGAAAGAATTTTTCCCAAAATTGTCAGACAAATAAGTAATAATAAGAAAACTAATTAGTAATACTGGACTGCAGTAGGACCCTTAGGGGAACTCTGAGTAAATTCTAATTTTCTTTATTGATAATCAGGCATCAAAAATATTTACTTTTAAAAATATTTAAAATATGTTCTGTTAGAATAGTAATCTTAATAAATATTCTCATAAATGACATAATGATACTCATTTTAAGATTAATTTGCACTTGCGCTATAAACTATAATATAATGTAGTTAACAATAATTAAAAATTACAATAACAAATTTGGTACTTTAAAATCCCAAACAAATTCAATTATAAATTATAAAAGCCCACTGATGTATTTATTCTCTTTCAAAAATTATTTTTTTTTAAATGTTTAACAAATTGTTTATAATTAGTTGTGAACTTTTCAGTGGTAATATATTAAATATTTTTTTGCAAAAACCCTTCCAGGAAAAGTTACACCCCTCCGAAGATAAAAAAAAGATTTTCTTTATTTTCTCTGTATATTAGGCTAAAAACACGAAACTTGGTAGATATTATTTGTCAATAAAACCAAACTTTTTGAAATTTTGTCAATCCTGTAGTAGGGGTTAAAATAGTCGACCTATTTTTTCTCACAACTTTTTTTTAGACAAAAATTTTTCTTTTAAAAAAATATGGCTAAAAAGCCCAATTCATTTACTAACTTTTTTGCCTCTACAAGTTTTTTTAAAAATTTAAGCATTTACGAGTAAAAATAAATGTATTGCTAGCTCATGTTAAATAGCATTTTATTGAACAACAACCAACCAAATTATGATTCTGCTAGGCTAACAGCCGGTTGCAAGAACGATCGTTAAATATTTATAGACTCATTAGCACTAATGATCCACTAAAAATCATTCCGATCCTCGATAGCTATTCGCGATTCAAGCTAAGTGATACGCCCTCTGGAGGAAATTTGTAGAAGGTCCGTATAAGTAGGATATCGTTCAGTGTTGCCAGAAGTAGCAAAACTTCGCTACGTCGTCGGATTTTAGCTTTTGAAGAAGTGGATAAGACCTTTTATTTGAAAATCAAAATTTGTGTGGTACAACTAAACTTAGATACCATTTTAAAATACCCTGCTTGTCTATTAGAAGAGATATAACACAAATTATGTTTTTATATAATATAGTAAATAACCATATAAATGATACAAATAATTTAAGTCTTATACATTTTAACATACCAAACAAGATGACCTTTATTTCTTAGATTGCCAAAAGCTAGTAAAGTTATTACCTCAAGATATCTATCATCTCTTATCAATTTTGCGAAGATTTAATGAGATAAATCAACTAATTGATATTGATTTTTCGTATATTTCTTCAAAATTTGAAAAAATGGTAATCGATCATTTAATAGACACTACGGTGTAATCTTGACTGAGTATATAGGATATGTATATAGATATAAGAAAGTAATTTTTTAAGTGTGTTGATTAAGATTATGACTTTAGTTATGTTAGCATACATTGTTTGCTATTTTGTTGAATTTCCATGTAATTAGGCGTAAAGCCTGCTTGGAATTAAATAAATAACTTATTTCTTCAAAATTGGCCACGTTTCCGCAAATATCGCTGAATAGTTGTGAACGTAGTATGATGGGGTAATCTACGCTGTGGGTACCGTTCAGCATAAAGTGTTTGCGCTTCTAATGCATTACCGTTAGCACAACCATATGTAAAATGCATATCTACCATTTTAAAATTCCAATATGCATTCATATTTTCAATCAAATACTATTTTCTACAATACACAATAAAACTTGTTAAAGAGTAAGAAAGGTAACAGAAAATGACACTGCACAATCCTGCAGTGGGATTCTCATCTTTCAATTCGGCACGTGTTGAAAAGCTTCTATCTTCGTTCTACATAATGCGATTTGTATGTAATGTCTCTCTCTATTTGATTCGTTACGTGTTGCGTTCGCACATAAGAATCCCTGTCCGGGTATCAGTATTATTGTTTTTATGGTTGTCTTTGCCAAGCACAGAGCACTAGACCTTAAGGCAAAGTACCCTCGCGTTATCTCATCTTTTTGAAAACGCATTGCATTTATTTATTTTTGAATAAACTTGTAAAGAAAAATAAGTTAGTATATGAATTGGGCTTTTTAGCCATATTTTTTTTTAATAAAAGTGTAGTTTTATTGACAAATAATATTTACCAAGTCTTAATAAACAGGGAAAATAAAAAAGAACAAGAATTTTTTTTTTAAATCTTAGGAGGGGTGTAACTTTTCGGGGGAGAGTTTTTTCAAAAAATTCTATAGCAAATACCCACCTTAATTTTCATCACAGAATCACCCCTTAAATTTTTTCGTTATTTAAATAATACAGGGTTATCTAAAGATACACGCTGTATATATCCAACATAATTCTTCTATTAACCTATTTTTGTATTATTTTTAATTATCAAATAAATTTTATTTACCTTTAATAGAATTTACGTACTTATCGTTTTAATAATTGTGTTTATAGTTAAATTAAACAAATTTAAAGCAAAAAAAATAAAAACACATTACTTTATGCATTAAAAAACCTGTAAATACCAAAATATAAACAATAATTATGTAAACGTTTCAGTACTTACTAGTGTTTTTATTATTACTTATGACTAAACAAATCATTAAAATAATTTTGAAACATTTTGTAGGAGCGACGATGAGGCAGAAATCGCCGACGCTGAAACCGAATTGAGTAGTAGCGATAGTGAACCCCCTGATAGTCCCTTGGATGCGAGCGTTCGTATGTACCCCTTAAAGCCTAGGCCTATTTTGCAAAGGCGTAATACCATTTCGGGAGCCACACCTACTAATAAGAGAGCTTATCCGTCCATTGAACAAGTAAGTTTTATTATTGTTAAAAAAAATCTGCAAATGAATTTCATGCATGAAATATCGTAAAGAATTCTTTTTTAATATTATTATTTGGCATAATTGTGTTCTCTGAAAGCTCTGCGGTAACACCACGTTTGAAGAAGTATTATGTATGCTGATGACCCATCACTTTTTGTCAGTAAATCAAATGAAACGCTTCATCGGGTGCACAAGTAATTCAAGGTGTAATTCACAATAGGCCTTAGTGTGACGTCAGTGAGCCAAACAAAATCAAACCATTCTGTTATTGATATAAAAATGTATATTTTTTAAGTAGAGCACCTTGTATTTTAGAATGTAGAAGATTTTGATGGTTTTATTAATTAGTAATTAACATTTTTCTAATTAAAATTGACTTTAGAAATTTTGGTCAGTTACAAAACTACAAATAGGTAGGTCTAATGTATTTTTATAATTCTTCAAATAAAACAATGTTTTGTGTTCTTATTAACATCAGTAGCTCTAAGTTATAGATAATTACAGGTAAAACTTTATAACGAAACAAAAGAACAAACACCTAAAATTTTTGTTAACCCATTTTTCAAAAATAATGAATGTTTTTCTGTTCTCTCAACGTTACAAAATTGTGTGTATGAGGAATGCAAAAAAATCAAGTCAAAGAAATTAATTGGTGGTATAACATACAGGGCATTCTATTTAAAAAATTGATAAAATTGAGTTTTGACACACCCTGTATGCAACAAAGCAAATGAATGAAGTCTATTAAAATTGTTTGACGATGTGAAAACAGTCAAATATATGGTGTAACTTCCTACAGGGTGTTTTGGTTTGAAAAAGTATAAGTTTTTTCAACTGGAATGAAAACATTAGAACTACTTCCTAAAACTCATTTCCCTGATTGCACAACAATCTCGAATGCAGCAAACCAAACTCACACGAACTGGAACTCTCAAAAAAGAATCTCGAGCTAAGAGTGGGAAACTGCTAAACAGGTAGTCACAAAAGAGAAAGTAACATGGGCAATACGCACTTTCAATCCATACAAATTACCGGGACCAGATGGGGTACTGCCTGTGCTTTTGCAACAGGCAATAGAAACGCTGGCCCCGCATATTTGTAGGCTCTAAAGGGCAAGTTTGGTGCATAAAAATGTACCTAATACCTGGAAACATAGAGTTGTCTTTATACCTAAACCGGAGCGTCCAACGTATGCCGTGCCAAAGGCCTATAGACCAATAAGTCGGACGTCATTTCTATTGAAATGATTTGAAAAAGTGATTGATCAGCATGTCCGGCAAACCACTCTGATAGAGAGGCCATTTCATACAAACCAACATGCCTATCAATCAGGAAAATCTTGCGAGTCTGCTCTGTACCATCCCGTAATTAAGATGGAGGGGGGACTCAGTAGCCAATAAATAGTCCTAGGAGCATTTCTTGACATAGAAGGAGCTTTTGATAATACCTCCTTTAAATCAATGGCAGCTGCCGCACGCAAACATGGAATAGAAGACACCATCTGGTGGTGGATAGAAGATATGTTACGCGGACGGCAAGTACAGGCACAAATGTTCAGTGAAACTATGCAGGTGAATATCCACAGAGGATGCCCACAGGGTGCAGTCCTTTCTCCTCTACTGTGGAGCCTAGTGGCAGATGAACTGCTGAAAACACTGAACAATCAAGGACTGTACGTCCAAGGATATGCCGATGACATAGTCATCCTTATCCGAGGAAAACACCAAACCACAGTCTTCGAACTCATGCAAAGAGCTCTTAGGCTGACATAAAACAGCCCTCAATACCCTCTCAGGAGTTCAGAGGCTGGCCTGCCTTTGCACTGAGAAGTACACCGACAGCCTCTATCGAAATTATTCTAAACCTCCCACCCCTTGATCTAGTTATAAAGGGGGAGGCCAGAATGAGCCCATACAGACTGGAAATCTCCAACAACTGGAATCCAATGGGACATATAAAACATACCAGAATAACACATGAAGTAAATGATTCTATATTAAACATTTGTGTATCCCAAAAAAGCACATGGTAACGTTTGCAAGAAATTTATTATGAAGACCCAGGATGACCCAAAATTACATAGAGCAAGATGAGGAAAAACAACAAAATGGATTAGACTTTAAACATTTTTTCTCTCTAATTAATTTAAAATCTGAAGTAATACTCAAATATTGTGAATATATTTTTTTTTCATTTGTTAATATTTTTTGTTTATGTAAATATTGTTGATTAACAATTCTCGAACATAATATTAAAAAATATTCTAATATTGTTAAAATTATCATTGGGCTCAAGGACTTCGGTCGTTGGCCTGTTGGGTATAGTAACTTAATAAAGAAGGTTTATTATTTTTTATATATTCTTTGAATATATTAAAAAATTAGTTTAAAGGTTTGTAACTAAATTATTTTTATTGTAATTCACTATAACAATATGTCGGAATCTTTATTCATATCTACTGAAAAGAGGTGATGTTTTCTATTATCTTGTTCTTTATGATGTGCCTCTTTGCTTTTTTACCAGATGCTTCCTGAAATCTAAAAGATCTACGAGCCTTGTAGGTGTGCTCAACTTAAGAATATTAGTTCACAAAATTCTTTGAGTTTTATAGGTTGTATTGTACAATGTGCTTTTTAATGTTTCTTTATCTCAGAAAATAATAATGCACTCTCTACAGCATTCTCTTGACCTATGTCAAAGTCTGCTCTGACAATGATAATAATGGAATGAATTCAAAAATGATTTATCAAACCTTCTTTTGGTGAAGACGGTGACATTATTTGTTAAACCACGCCTTGTCTGAGATCGGTCGAATGATTTTGATCTTTGTTACGTGGTTATATCGGGTGATGTAACTTTCTGCGTGCACCAAACACAAAAAAATTGGCGACAAGAAACCTGTATACTTAATTGCACACATCCGGTTGCTTGTTGTATAAACTGGCGCGAAATTTTGTACAGTGCCATTTAATAAAACATTTAGAAGAAAATTGGTATTAAATTAATATGTATATGTTATGTGTTAAGTTGGGAACGGGGTGTTCATACTCACTGTGACCTAAAAGATCTGTTGTGTCCCCTTCTGCCGCTAATGCAGCATGAAAATGTTTTAAGGAAGTGTAGGATTTGGAGTGGCTTCAAGTTAGGTAAATCTCCCTCTTTTGTTTGATATGCTCCTAGGTATAGTGCCCTTGGATTCTGGAGTGCTACACATTCAGTTAGAATGTGAATGGATGTTTCGTCCTCTTCCTCACAGAATCTTCATTCACTATTTTCTATCAGTTTACTAAGGTTTCCTTGGAGTCCGTAATGCCCAGTAAGGATCCCTGTTACAATGCGTTAATATGGTTGCAACGTTAACAAATTTTACCAGTTGAATATTATATATGAAACTTATTTTGAGGTGTTGTTTTTCACCACAGCAATAACATTTTATATATTGCTTGTAAAAACTCCAACACCATACTAACATCAACTCGTAGAAGACTCGGGTGCATCTGCTTTCATAATAATAATATTGTTAGGCAGCACCCTGCAGTAGCCTGCGGCTATCATAGGAAACGTACAGATAGAAAAAGAAGTGGAATGTTACTCATCGCTCAACAGTGTGCTGTGGTCGTTATAAGTAAAAGTACAAGTAAAAGAAGATAGAATATTCCAGTAATGTCTGGAAACGTCATTACCCGTCAAGAATATTCTAGACGACAGTTCGCGAAGGGTCAAGCAAGCTATATAAGGATGATCATGACGTCAGTTTTCAGTTTTATGATAGATGTTACATGTTAATGTTATCAGTTGTATAATTGTTGTAAAACTTGAGTTCAAATAAATTGCGATACCAAAAACTTGCGTAACATTCCACAGATCATACTACCTAGTCTTCTCAGGAATAAATTCCCTCTCGCCTTTTAGGAATGACACGCCTGACAGGACCACGCGTTATCCCTTGCAGCTATGAAGTTTTGTAGGAATAGTACTACCTTTGGACTTTTTAGTCATATTTCACCGGACTTACGTCCTAATAATCGCAAAATCACCAATGTTTAAATTTGTTTAATATGTTATTTATATTATAAATTATAATTTGGTATTAATACTTTATTTGCTGGTAAATTATTTAGGTACCTACTTTAAAGTAGTCGCAGTCTTTAAAAACTGCGATATTTAACAGAAATATGTACAATTTCATGGAAATTTACAAGAAAAACAAATAACTTAAGACATTTTAAATAAATAAATTTCTGTTAATTTGACAAATATTAATTTATATTAATAAATATTGGAAAAATAACAAACTTTCAGTTTTATCAGTGTTGATATCCTGATCCAGAATCATCGAATGTAGATGCATTTACTTTAAAATGGGATTAGGAATATTTCTGCGCGTTCTCTCCATTCTCTCTAGTAAATAGTAAATAAGAAAATAATAATTAAGTCTGCGGAAATAATGGTGTCCTTTCCAGTCTACTGCCAGACCACATCGATGGTCAGGATATTATTCGGAATTCGTTTTTAAATAGAGAAATTCCCGAAGAAGTTCTTCTATTAGCCTATTTAACTGAGAGTTCATTAAAATAATATATCCAATGTTTAAAAAAGATGGGAGTCGTTTTGTTTAAAAAATAAAATATAATCCGTTTGAATACAAATTAATAAGAGTAATAATTTTTAGAAATACAAAAATCTAAACTATAATTTTCTTCAATAAATACACATAGATCATCACTATCAATAATTTTAAATTTGAATAAAGAAGATGGTGCAATTCTAGATTTATTAAAGGTATATAATTATAATCTTAATCCTCACTAGCCAAAATATCGAACCACTTGGGACCCTGATTATAATATTTAAAATCTTTATATTCTTTAGAAAATCTGACACTAGAAATTTTAAGTTACAAACTAGTTACTTTAATGGCATTAATTTTTGCCAATAGAATGCAGACTATAGCTTCGTTCGCGGTAACAATCCTGAACTGATTCAGA